GAAAAATATAAGTTTGCATAGCGTAGCAAAGGGCTGCGCCTCGGCACGGCAGTGGCGCTAACAAAATGAAAAGTGCCGCTAATGGTCCTCGAGTAACCCGCTCGTGGTAATTGGGGCGACCCATAACACTTCGAAACTCGTGAGCCAACGACTAGTTTTTTTACTAATAGAAACATCAATAACTGTCATTGGAAACTATTATTTGTGTATTGAACGCTCAAAAGTTACAACTTCGGCTAAGACCTAACGGACTCTACACCACATCTCGTATTCTAAATGAGCACGGTTCTGTAGGCACGGGTGCTTACTAGAATACTAGAAACAAAAAAAATAGATAAGCGATTCGTTCCAATTTAATTTCAATTTCAAATTAGAGTTTGTTTATGAAAACGATTAACATATTGGCTAAAGACGGACATAAGTGAAGTCAATCACTGGAGCGTGTTTAGCATGCTATTCAATATGCGTCGAGGTGGTCAACTGGTCAATTATTAGTAAAAGCGTGAACTGGCTGTCAGTTTGGGAGCCTATTATGTGCCTGGCCCGACTCTGCCGGCGACGTCGGTGACGCGAAGGCCGACGGCTCACATTATCTCCGTACCGGCACAGTCAACATAAATGTTGCATTAGCATCCTCTTTTAACAAGATATGAATAATCTTTTGTGAACACTAATCGCTTATTTTCGGATGTAGCTAGACGGTATTCAGTCATGATAGTCGAACGCTCTGTGTCTTTCGTGAAATGGAAAACCTTATTTTTTACGGGAAATGGCATTCCTGGTCTACTTAATTGCTTCCAAATTCTATTAAATAAAAATAAAATCGAGTGTTTATAAAGTATCTATTGTACTATTGTAATGACGCAGATAGCGTCATGTTCTTTTTAAATTGTTGAATATTAGGGAACATATGTACATTAAAGCGTGAAACACACTGAAAGCGGGTGCGGGACGGGAGCGTGTCGAGTCGGGAGCGCGACGGGTGTAATTCCGTGTATTTATATGGATGACAAAACATCACGCGCGGGCGTGTGACGGGCGCAGGTCCCGTGTATGTTTCACGCTTAAGGGATTGCTCTACTTAATACTTGCCTAAATATAAACATTTGCTTTTAGATGTCTAATAAAGTGTATTACCTATTACGAGTACACATCTAAAAGTAACTTCTAAAGAATTATAATTCGACAAACTACATATGATTGTAAAAAATTCGAAAACGACCTCAAACTCCTTGCAAGTGTGGCGTGTATTCTATAAATAATCCTGGTTCCATCATCAATCCATCCTGGTTCCTTCTCAGAGAATATCCGTGCTCAGCAGGGGTATCTTTTGGTTGGTTTTATTTTTAATATGTATGTATTAAAAATAAAACCAAAAAATAAAAAAAGTAGAGTTAAAGTAGAGTAAAGAGCTTAAGTAGAGGCGGATCCATGATTATTATTAAGCGTAACTTAAAATTTAAATAGCGTAAGGATATCACAAATCTTTCTACTGAACGAACTATTGAGATTTCATGTGTGGAATTGGATCAGTTTGTCGTCTTATGTGTATACAGGCTCTGCTAATTTTAACGAGTTTGAATTAGTTATGGAAGACAGTTTAAAGCGGATTTTTCCAACCAAAAAAAACGTAGTAATATGTGGAGTTTCAATGTAAACCTGCTGGAAACCTGTTCTACTTCTGTAAGACTCATTAATTTATTTCAAAGTTTTAACTTGATTAATCTTTTTTTAGAACCAACTCGCATCACTGCCTCCTTTTCTACTTGTATTGATAACATCTTTTGTAACACAGACGCAGTGTCTAAATCAATAATAAATTGCTTAAGATCCGACCATAGTGGCCAATTGGCTTCTTTTGATTGTAAAATGAGCAAGAAGGTAGACCAATTTCTCTGCAGACCGATTACCACAGAACGAATAATTAGATTTCAAAATAATATCGGCAATAGTTTAAATTCCCTACCCCATATACCGGAGGATCCAAATACTTTATATAACACGATATTTGGTTTAATTAAAAATAAATTTGATAACATATTTAAATCGAAAACATTAACTTTCCATAGAGAGACTAAATTCAACGACTGGGCAACAGTAGGTGTTCATAAGAGTAGGTCTCGTTTGTATGAGCTATATGCTATGAAAACTTATAATACTAATTCCAATTTCATAGAATATGTTAGAATTTATTCAAAAATATTTAAAAAAGTATGTGTAGCTGCTAAGGTTAAGTTTCACAGCGACAAAATTAGACAATCGATAAACAAATCCAAAACTACTTGGAGCATAATAAATAAAGAATCAGGCAGAGTTAAACAACACGATAGAGATATAGTTTTAGAATTAGACAGCAAACTTATAAAATCTAAAGATAAAGTAGCCCAAGCTTTTGAATTGTTCTTTTCGGAAATTGCTGTGAACACTACAGAATCACTAAATTCCTCCCCTTCACTTGCTATTGATCTCCTAAAGGAAAATGTTAACGTTTGTGGCAGTTTATTTAATTTTCGTCATGTTAATCCACAAGACATCATAAAAGCTTTTAAGTCAATACATGTTAAAAAAACTGAAGATCTCTGGGGCATATCAACTAAAGTTATAGACTCAGTTATTAATCTAATTTCCCCACAGTTAGCTGTAGCTTTCAATAGGTGCGTTGACGAAGGTGTTTTTCCCGATTTAATGAAATACAGCAAGGTTATTCCCTTATTCAAAAGCGGTAGGAAAGTTGATCCTAGCAACTATAGGCCCATTTCAATTTTACCAGCTTTAAGTAAAATATTCGAAAAGGTTATGCTAACTCAATTACTGTCCTATTTCGGTAAGAATCATATTTTTCATAGTGAACAATACGGATTTACTAGTGGTAGATCGACTAGCGATGCGGGGGTAGCGTTGCTAAAACACATCTTTGATGCTTGGGAAAGGTATCAGAACGCTATTGGTGTTTTCTGTGACCTCTCAAAGGCATTTGATTGCGTTGATCATATTACTCTTATTAGGAAGCTGGAACATTACGGTGTAAATGGCAAGGCGTCGAAACTTGTCTCGTCATATCTCAACGGTAGAATTCAGAAAGTAGACATAAATGGAGTGACTTCTTTGGGTTCTCCAGTAAAAATGGGTGTTCCGCAGGGCTCAATACTTGGACCTTTCTTATTTCTGATTTATATTAATGATCTGCCATTCTTTGTTAAGGACCATTGCGAAATAGTGTTGTTTGCTGATGATACATCCTTGATTTTTAAAACAGACAGACATGACATTAACTATGACCATATTAATGATACCCTCTCTAAGGTAGTTTATTGGTTTAATGCTAACAATTTATTGCTTAATGCCAAGAAGACAAAATGTGTTCAATTTGAATTACCTAACGTAAAATCGACTAGTCCAAGCATAGAAATAAACGGAGAAAAGTTAGACCTTGTTAATAAAGCAGTCTTCTTGGGAGTGACCTTAGATAGTAAACTTCAATGGTTTCCACATATATCGTCTCTGGCCAGCAGATTAAGCTCCGCTGTATACGCAGTCCGCAGAATACGTGAGCTTACCGATGTTAGTACTGCTAGACTAGTTTACTTTAGTTACTTCCATAGTATAATGTCCTACGGGATTCTCATGTGGGGTAAAGCGGCAGATATTCAAACCATATTTGTATTGCAAAAACGAGCGATTCGTTCTGTGTACCGTCTAGGTTCTCGGGTATCTCTCAGAGAAAAGTTTAAGGAGACTGGTATCATGACTGTGGCATCACAGTACATTTACTCAAATATTTTATATGCCCGTAAACATATACATAATTTCAATAAGAAAGAAGATATCCATAATATTAACCTTAGAGCTAAGTCCAAACTCAAGGTACCACGATTTCGTTTAACCAAGGTAAACAACTCTTTTATGGGGAACTGTATACGTTTTTACAATAAGATTCCGGAGCATATATTAAGTTTATCAATTCCTAAGTTCAAAAACTACATTAAAAATATTTTGATCGAAAAATCATATTACAAAGTTGAAGACTACGTGTTAGATAAAGATGTATGGAAAGACGACATGGCTCCAGAATCCACACAAATTTGATTCAAAGTGTATTTAAGTTTATATGAAAAGAGCAATCCCTAGAGTTTCTTGCTCGTTCTTCTCAGGGAGGTCAGCGTAGTGAACGAGCAGTAGCTTAACTGTGACGTTTTCAAGTGTAAATTTATTTTACCTATGGAATAAATAATCTTTGACTTTGACTTTGACTTTGACTAAAGAAAAATAAATAAAAAAGTAGGGTTTTTTCTGAGCGTTCGATCTTTGTATTAATAATTATAACAAACTAGTGGAGTAATTTCACAAAAAATAATTGAATATCAATTCAATAAAAATTTGACATACAGTAGAGTTTAAAATATGTGAAAACTGCGAAAGCGGACTTTGTTGTCACTATTTCTGAACAAACAACTTTTCCCGATTTATTTTAGTTGTGGATAATGGGTTTGTATACAAAAGTAATACATTTTTATGCGATTTCATTAAACTTTATACAATCCTGTAAAAGTCAAAGGCCTGGAAGTCTGCAAGTCTTTAAGTATTAAGTAATTGCTCAACATAATGATTTCGCTTTTTCATTATAAACCAATCGCATTATGAGCTTCCTTTGAAACAGAAACACCGGTAAGAATACTTTCGGCATCGGAACAATTATGCTATCAACGTTAATCGATCTATCGACAAGTCGGGTTCAAGTCCCACTGCTTGATATCTTATTCGAGTGTCACGACTCGCCTACTGTCCGTTTTTGCCCAGTATTGATAGTCGTAGTGGGCCCGACGCGGGCGCAGCGGTAGTCGGCACTATCGTCCATTGTTCGCAGACAGTTCTCACGATGGTTTTTGTGATCAATGCACTCAGAGTTATTTCGTTTCAATCTCTGTATGACTTACACATTTTAATCGTTAGTACTTTGATGGAGTTATGGGAAAGATAATGATAACATCCGACAATTGTAGGTGACTGGGTGGCGGCTGCTTATGAGGTGGGTTTTTACCTAGGAGAAGTTAATTAATAGTTTAACGGTAATGTCCACACAACAGATTAAAATATGATTAAGTATCCTGACATCGAACGAATTGAAACAAAAAAGGTGTTTTAGATTTTTCTAGAAATGTACAAAGCATTTGTGCTTTAATTTGTACTTTTTTAATAATACCAAGTGACAGGACGAACAGGACGTGCGCCTGGTGCTACATGACACGCCTATTCATAACAGTTGCAGTGCCACTCAGAGCTTTAAATCGAAGAGATGTTAGGGTCACTGCCACTGCGCCCGTCACCATGAGACTTAAGATGACAAGTCCCATGTACCTGTAATTACACCAGCACCAGAACCTTACCATTCCAAACCGGAATGCAGTAATGCTTACATTACTGCTTGGCGGCAGAAATAGGTATGGTGGCAGTATTTTCCTGGACGAACTTTTTCACAAGGAGTTCTATTGCTACTAAAAAAATACTGTACAAAAAAAATTGTGTAGATTTATATGTACTTTTCATTCGATTAATTTTTTACGGACAAAATGCACGGAAGGAGACATAATGTTTTGACAGATTAAAAAAGACAGAAATAAAACAAAAAAGTATAGGTACCGGCATCGAGTTTGTAGTGTTAATTTAGATGAAAAAAAAATTTAAGATGTCTTGGTCTTAAATTTTTTTCGACTGCTGCTCAGGTCGTGGTATCGATTCGTAAATTGATAGTATAAATTATTCTATTGTTGCAGACGCATTCGGACCAAATGCCGTTCCGATGCGAGTTCTGTTCCCGCCTGTTTAAGCACAAGCGATCCCGCGACCGACACGTCAAGTTGCACACTGGAGACCGCAAGTATCGATGTGCGCATTGCGAATCTGCCTTCTCTAGAAGGTGAGTTGCAAAGCCTTGTGGGTCTATCTGTACCCGTAGACAATTTTAACGAATGTTTCCTCTTTTACGCAGTTTGTAAATAGTGTAAATTAGCAACAGCCGTAAGATAAATAATCCCTTAACAAAGTCTTGTAATAAGATGTTGGAGCGGAGATTAAAAATAAACATGAATGAATTCTTATAATTCGTTGTTATTGAGCGTTAAGTATATGCATTGGTCGAGATGACTGCGTCGTGAGGTGCACTGGCGACAATGGCCTCGCAGCTAGATTGATCACCATAAGTCACAGCGCACAAAGCTCATCGCCCGTCGCTCCGTCGGCGACACGAGGCGACGCGTCACCTTTTTCGTCACCTCGCCGCGGCCACGTGACTAATTCCACGCAATTTGTCGACCCAACGAACCTCCGACGAGTGAAAAGAGATGATGTGCTGACAAATGGCTCCGAGGGTCTCACAAAAATGAAATAATGGCCCGTACCTAAACGGGCACGGCGAGTGCGGCCATTAGCGAGATGTTTGGGCGAACGCCTCTATTCTGTAGTTTGTGTGAAAAGCCCCTTTGTTAGTTCTGTTTGGTCCGTGCTTTATGTGGGTACTTATGTCTTATATGACAAATTGTCGTCTCTGGCCACATAATGACGATTTATCTCATTCCATTTTTAAATTCTTGTCGAGGTATTTTTGAGTTGAAGAACGCGTTTTTGTGGGACTTAAGCATGTGAATATTCATGAGATATTATGAGGGTGTAAATTTTTTAACGTTCTGAACTTTTGAAGTTTTACACACATAGGTATAATAAGTACATAGAAACTTTAACATGGTTACATTGAATCCGAGTTGTGAAATAAACACCTAATTTTCAGTGATCACTTGAAGATCCATCTAAAGACGCACGACAATCAGAAGCCGTTCCAGTGCACTGTTTGCAACCGCGGGTACAACACGGCTGCGGCGCTGACGTCGCACATGCAGGGTCACAAACGCGCGCGCGATGGTCATGAACCTGATCGCCGCCGAGCCACGCGCTGTCTTCGCTGCGGCGATGCCTTCAGGCGACCTGACTTACTACAGGTACAATTTACATCGAAGTTTTCACGAATACTGAGTCTACTATATTACAGAATATTTAAACATTATTTTGTCGTTATTAGGCACATATGGTAAATGCACACGGAGTTGATGCAGCAGCTATGACACCTCCACGCAGAATAGCTTCTCAACCGCCGCCAACTCTCCTAGCTTGCATCTACTGCACCCGTGATACATTCACCAGCATGGAGCAGCTTCAGCTTCACGTAAGAGCAGCACATTCTGCTCTACTGAATGGTGAAACACCTTCTAATATAGATCAACCTGCGCCAACGGATCTTAGCCTTCGTACTCTTGAGTCTCCCACTAAGCGATCTGGATCGGCTAATGAAAACCTCACCGTAAAGCGCAGAAGGTCGGGCTCAGCGACACCACAGATTGCACTGTCGCCAAGCACACTTCTTTGCAATCAATGTGATGCAGCTCTACCCGACTTTGAAGCATTTCGAGCGCACCTCAAAGGACACCTAGAAGAGGGTGGAGAACTGAGAAATTCGAGTCCAGTGCCGTGTCTTCAATGCGGGGCGACGTTCGCGGATGCCGCTGCTTCTGAACGTCACCTCACAGCGCATTACCTCGCTGTCTCCTGTGAATACAGTTGCCACAGCTGCGCTCGGAGCTTCTCCACCCCCGACGACCTGCAAAAACATCTCCTGGATATGCATGCTCACCACCTGTATCGATGCTCACTCTGTAAAGAAATCTTCGACTCGAAAGTGGCGATTCAGGTAAGGATTGTTGTCGATGAATAACCAATAGATTACAAAACTACGGCAGGAATCTAAAACTATGTTAATGTTAGGTGCACTTCGCCGTGGCACACAGTGGTGAAAGCAAAGTGTGGGTATGCCGCGGATGCGGCGCGGGCGCGGGCGCGCTGCGATCGGAGGCGGAGGGCGCAGCACATGTGCTTGCACGTCACGCGGCGCGCTGCGCGTGCGGCGCTGTTCTATCGGCTCAGCGCGCAAGACCTCGCGCTTACCGCTGCCCCGTCCCTGCCTGCACAGACACCTTTGCCGTGCAGTATTTGCTCGAACGACATATGCAGGCGCATCATACACCACAACCTGTTAGTATTGTTGCCTTACGTCTTTGTAAAACTTAAAGTTACTCATACATTTTAGTGTTTAATCAACTCTTATGTCATTTCATTTTCAGAGCTTAAATGGGGATATAGCGAGATCGAAGCGCGTAGATAATAACAACGCTCCCGACGGTGCCGACGGCACTTGCTCTCCGTGTAACGTCGGGGCTGAAAGCAACGGCGCGGTGGTTACCGGCAACGACGAAAGACGCCGTAAGAACGGCGCCGTAGCTCTGCAGTGTGCATATTGCGGGGAACGTACGCGTAGCCGAGCGGAATTGGAGGCGCACACTAGGGCGCACTCTGGCGCTGCTGCGGCAAGGCACAAGTGTCTCATTTGTGATGAAGTGCTGCCATCTGCTGCTGTTCTTGCCGAACACAAACTTACACATTGCAAGGTGAGACAAAGATAATAATGAATAATTGTATGTTATATGAATTAGTATACTGTTAGGCATTAGTCAAACAAATGAAACAGCGTAATGTCATCAAACTCTGCTTTGTAAAAGGTTGTTGCCGGAGACACGTGTGCAAGATGCCGCGCCCGTCTGCCGTCCGAAGAAGCGTTCCTGAACCACATGGCGCGACATCACCCTGCCTTGCCTGCACCCTGCGTCGTTTGCCGGCAAACGCTGGCGTCTGAGGCCGAGGCCCGTTTGCACGCACGATTTCATTTGAGGGTCACAGAGGATGAGCAGAGATGCGCCATTTGCTTACGAGCTCTGCCCGAAGGCGAAGGCGGCGAAGGTGCTCGTGCCTGTTCGTCGTGCTACGCGCGTCACGCCGCGCCTCGACCTCCGCCGCCTACCGACCACGATTGCCGGTTGTGTCGCCGAGCTCTTGGCTCTCCAACACGTTTGCAGGTAGATATGAATGTAAATAAATTTAAAAAAATATTATTGTTTTTTTTTCACACACTCATAGCCCCGCACTAGGAAACCCTGTGTCTATATACTACCATAAATTACACCCAAACTCGCGAGAGAAATAAATGTAAGTCATGCAAATATTTCTCCCAACCCGGGGAATCGAACCCAGGTCCCCTGCGTGGCAGACCAGCATGTTATCCGTTCGGTCACGGAGGTAGTTGCAGGCAAATGGAGAGTAGGAGGCAATTAGTCATCCATAAAATAAATATTATATTTACATTGATGTCTTTAAACTTTACAACGTTTATGTTCCAGGCACATCTCATCGAACACACCTTCGCAGGTATCGGAGCCTTCACATGCTACTTATGTTCGGCAGTGTTCACAAGTGCGTTAGGTCTTCAACGGCACCTGCCCGAGCACGCGACTGCACCACGGCCTTACGACTGTGGCCGATGTGGCCTTAAGTTCTTCTTTAGGGCAGAGCTTGATAACCACGCTTTCGTGCATTTGGAGGAAGCGGAAATTGCTCAGAGAGCGTTTTACGAGGCTTACGCCAGAGGAGCAGCGTCTGCCTGGGCAGCGTTAGCCCCGCCAAAGGCGCCACCAGCTAGCAGCCCCGTAACAGTAGAGGTTCCAGTTAAAAGGGAGCCTGAGATAAAGGAGGAACGGACAGACGAATACATAGAAGTGTCTTCGCCTCCCCCGCCAGCCCCGCCACCCGTAGCGCCCACTCCACCTCTGGTGGTGAAGCAAGAGAAACCCGATGAAGACTGAAGCGATATCGAGCCAATTATAACAAGCAGAGTTTTATACGCTTCAGCGACAGATTGGCTAGTTAACAGTGACTGTTGCCAGATCGAAAAGTTGATGTAAAAATAAAATGTTTGGTTTCACTACATTGTGTTGTAAAATATTAGAAATTACTGCTAATTGTGATGTATTTTGTTAAGATCTCAAGCACATTCCGTGTTAACTTGTCAAACAAACGTTATCGTCCGAGATGCGGATTTCCCGCTGCAATACTAGATTACGTCCCGCAATGTAACTATTAGCTTAATTACGTTGTAGTTGAATATTATATTGTTGAATTTCCGCGTTTAGAACGCTGTCTTTCTGTAAGTATAGAGCGTATTTTTATGTTGAATATCTTTTATAATGTTTACACGGCTATTTGTATAAAATGTTAATTTAAATAAATTATTATGGTTAGCTTCACTCTTACAAACGTTTGCTTATATTTTAAATCAACACCAAACACACATATTTAATAGATTTGTCGTCATAAAATTGTCTGAAATATAACAGGTATACTTTATTGTTGAATAGACCGAACTTACGAGATTGTTTTATTTCATTATTTGATTTCTTTTCGGGCTACTCAACAAAAACAAAGCATTAAAACCACGTTAAATTAATAAATAACCGAGTTCTTAGGTTTTCGTGATTATTACACATAGGAAATGAAACTATTTTTCCGGATTTAAATCGCGTATTTAAAAAAAAAACAAATATATATATTTTTTTTCAAAAAAATATACTCTATAATAAATTACGGTTTTAATACCCATTGAGTAGAAAATACCCCGTACACTTACTTATTTACTTCGTTGGCACAGTGAACCAAAGTGGGTCTTGGCCTCCGACACCAGATTCTGCCACGCCTCCCGGTTCTAGTGGCTGGAAAGAGCAATCTCGGAACCGGGTGGGCTCGCACTCACTCAATTTAAATTACACAACATTGTTATTTTGCGTTAAATGATCAATCTTAATTTACAGACAAAGTTCTTTAAACTACAGCTAAAATAAAAAATGACAACTAATTAATTTGCGTACTAATTAATTTAATTTAAAAAAGTTCTACTCACATCATAAACATTGATGTCAAAAAGCACTAGCGTTATGATTTGAAGATAAAATAGTAAAATATCAGGTTTTTTTAACATACACATATTTAATGTTCTAAATAGTTTATATTATACATTCTAATATCGTCTGTATGCCTAGAAATGCCACATTTACCAGTGTCTTTTATTGGAAGAGATCATAGCACTGGATTCGCTCTGGACCTTTTGGAGGGAAAAGTGTCGTTTTTATTTGGACTTTCAATTATTTTGTGAAATCTAGTTTAAAGTGGAATAGGATAGTGCTATTGTACCTTAATCGAAGATTAAAACGCGAAATTATACGCATCGCAGAACTAAAAAACTCGTATCGGCCCGTTTTAAGGAATCCCGAGTCAATCCAAGCACGCCGCCCCAAATTGCCTTTCCTCTTTGTGGCGGCTATATTTACAGAAACATAATTAAACTTCATGTCTAGGATGATGGCTTTACCAAAGCCTTATTAAATAAAAAAAAAGATCATAGTACTCATAAAGTCAAATAAGCAAATTAATAACCATAACTTTTTTACAATTACAAATACACACATCAAAAGTGTCGAGGAATCAAGTTTTTTTTTAATATTTTATTACCCTATTAAAGTAAAATTAAAATATCTATATAAATTTATTAAATTATTTATTTACTTATTTTTTAAAAGCAAAATTTATAAAATTTGTAAAAAGACCATTGGTGTTAAAAAATGCATCAAAAAACCCAGTAATTGGCAAAATGTACTTGATCGCAGACACTTTTGATGTGTATATTTGCCAAGTTTTATTGAAAATTCTTCAAATTTGAATGGGACCACTACTGAGGTACCCTCTCTCCGAGAAAAAAGAATCGTTCAAATCGATTCACAAAATGTCGGAGTAATCGCGTAACATACACACAAAAAAAACGTTGAAGTGAGAACCTCCTTCTTTTTTAACGTCGGTTAAAAATTTACTCCCAGTCACATTATTCGAGCCACATTGCCATGTGTTAAATTTCAGTATTAAATGCCCTAAGCTAAAATAATGTTTGATTGATAAAAAACTATTATGGAATTTTCCTTTTGGAAAATTTTTATTTGTAAAACCGGGAACAAGTTTTTCTTCGACGACAACAATATTTTTTATATTCTAACCTTTTAACAATAAAAATGCAAGGTGGCCCGAAATATATGTCCGGGAGAGTACAAACAAATTTACCCGTAGGGCTAGTACGATGGAGCGCGAGTTGCGCGAGAGCGGCATAAAGCACGAGATACTGCTGTTCTCGCATAGACATATCATGGTTTAAATCGCTTTCGCGCAAGTCGCGCCATGTCGTACCAGCACTACTAGTCACCATTTTAAACTACGACAACAAAACTTATCATTTCGAATATACAATTTTTACACTTTGTAGTATTAACACAACAGGGCGCAACTTGTGCGACACATTGCTATTCTCTATATGCTCTCGCGCAAGTCAAGCCCTGTCGTGCTAGTCCTACAGTTATGGCTTATTTTTACAAAAAAAAAATCACGTCGTTCTAAGGAGTGGCGACCTGCTGTTGAATCCAGGGCAAAAGAGCAGCGACGTTAACGTAGACCCCAGGCACGTTAGGGCTGGCACACCCCAGGCCCCACGCGACTAAACCAACCAATGTCCATTGTCCGTTAACTTGGCAGACTAGTCCAGAGCCACCATCACCCTGTAGATGAGAATAGATTATGCGTGAGTTCACCCTAAAATTGCGTGGCAAACTAGTATGAACTTTAAGTTAGATCCCACAATTGGGATAAGTTTCCTGTAAGAACTGGTTCTAGGTTACAGTTCACCTGGCAAGTACAGTTGGGCTAGTAAGCCCAATGCAGCTAGAAACATATAGTTCAGACAAAATTTTATTCGTATTAATTTTTTTAAGTAATCAACATTTTTTTAAAACAAGTATAATAAAGGACTTACCTATCTTATTCTAGTATTTTTCTACTATATCAATATTACGACTACTTGTAATCAACAAATACTTGAACAAAAATGATTTTATTTAGAAGGTACCTATATATCATCGAGATATTTTTATGATTGCTACACATATATATAATTAGTACATTGACCATTCTAAGCTTAACCACGCTCTCGCCTAAAGCGAAAATGTGTAAAATTGGTATTACAGCGGACCTAAATTGCGTGTTTGTTATTTCGAACAATGCATTAACAATTTACAAAACTTTCATGAAAAAATGATTTTGTGTAACCGTGTCTGAAATGTGAAATTATAGTTAATATTCATACTACATAATATACCTACGAGGGCAACACTGCAATTTTTTAGAATTGACTACTTAAAAACAGTCAAATAAAATAAAATATTTAAATTTTAAAAATAGAATAGATGTTTCACATCAACATTAACTCGAGAAAATCTTCGTGCAATGATTTTCTATGACTTTCGTTGGGATTTAAGTGAATAAGAAAGTTATGATAGACTTCGGTTGGCCTTTCATGATGCAGCTCTGATGCTCTGCGTGAGGGACTGCCTTCAACTGCGATGACTGTAGATAATATCAGTGCTGTGCGGCTCGTGATAGAGACTGACAAAAGATTGACCGAACAGCAGATCGGGACAAGTCATGAACATTTGACGGTCAGGAAACTTTGTACTCGGTGGATACCTCATTATTTGACCAAAAACTCTGTCGTTAAATCGTCGTGAAATGTCACTCAAATGCTGTATCCGATATAGTCACGGGTGACGAAAGCTGGGTTTACTGTCACGATCCAGAAACTAAAGGACAGTCTGCTCAGTGGGTGATTCCTTCAGAAAAATTGCCTACAAAAGTAAAGCGAGGTCGAAGCGTGGGAAAGAAGACGGTAGCCTCATTTTTCAGACGGACAGGTCATTACGCAACTATTCCTCTTGAAAACGAAAAAACAGCTACTGCAGAATGGTATACTATCAAATGCTTGCAACTAGTTTTGGAAAAAGTTCGGGAGAAACGATCTCGCAGTAGGATCCTGCTACATCATGACAACGCCTCAGCATACAAGGCCCAACGAACAACTTACTATTTGGCGACATCAGGTGTAGAAATACTAGGTCATTCGCCATACAGTACAGGATCTCCCGCCATGCGATTTTTATTTATTCCTGAAAATAAAGGAAAAGCTCGGGGAAAGGGACTCATGGACGCCGAGAAAGCAGTGGCTACATTTGAAGAGGCCATGGAAGAAACTCCTAAGGAAGAGTGGGCAAAGTGCTTATCTCAGTGGTTCCATCGAATGCGGCGATGTGTTGATGTCAATGGTGTATTTTGAAAAACAATAATAAAAATATTAACTTGCTAGTTTGCTTTGTTTTTGACATTCTAAGAACTTTCAGTGTGACACTCGTAAACCTATTAAAAAAAACAAACTGTAAACTAAACGCTCACAGTACAAGAATCCTTATTCGCCTCTCCCCCGGCACACACGAATGACGTGGTATCGAGGACATAGCTGGTGCCGAGTCTTGCCGTCTGCAGCTGCGTCTGACACGTCGCAGGTGCTACTATTGGTACATCTACCTTCTTGAGAATCTGCTGGTACTGTCCTTGTAAGCCAAACATGTTTTTTCCCCAACCGGAAACCATGCATCTAAAAGATGAGATTCATTACTTATTTCGTTTACCTTTTATTTACGTTTGAAATACGCAAATGTTACATACTAATACTGCCTCCGTGGCCCAACGGTTACCATGCTGGCCAGGGGGTCTACTCTCGATCTCCGTCCGACATCCGTCCGAAACAATTACTGTCAAATAAGTAATATTCGACCAAATTAAAAGACAGGTATCAAGTATGAAGCTTCATTCGCATCACGCGTCTTTCCATTTAGTCGAGTATTGCTTATTTGACAGTTACTGTTTCGGACGGATGTCGCACAGAGATCCAGAGTAGACCCCCCACGTAGAGGACACGGGTTCGATTTCCGGGCCGGGAGAAATATTTGAATGGCCTACATTTATTTCTCCCGTGAGTTTGGGTGTAGTTTGTGGTTGTCTATGTGTGTATACAGGGTTTCCCTAGTACGGGGCTATGAGTGTGTGCGAGATTTATCTATTTATTAATGTAAATTATGTGTCTTATACAAATAAATTGAGTATTGATATATTACTTACCACAAACAATAACTATCTATAGTTAAGTTATACCCAAACCTTACAAATTACACCCGAACTCTTGAGAGAAATAAATGTAGGCCATACAAATATTTCTCCCAGCCCGGGAATCAAACCAGGGACCTCTTCCAATTCCGCCATTGTGGCAGTTAATAATGTAAGGCGACCTCATATTGATTTTATTAAAATCTCGAGCACATTCAGTGTTAATTTGTTAAACAAAGAAAATATGGTCCTGTGGAAAATTAAAAAATCCAATGATAAATTAGACTTAAAATCGACTAATACCTTTGTCCAGTATAAACACTATTCGCAGCGGGTGGCAAACAAGCTCTATTAATGGTAGATGCAGCACCGGCCATTGGCGTCAGCGGCACGGATGATGCCAGACGCAGTACCATAATGTCATATTGCAACGTCAGTGCATTGTAAGACGGGTGAACGAACACCTTCGATATTGTATATTCTTGGAACGGCACGGGTTCATATACACCAGCTGCGTCCCATTCGCCAAAACGGACTTTCACGTTCGGAGTCGTTGCTGCAACACTGAACCAAGCGTTATCTCATATTGAAATTAATTAAGAACACATTCTTTATTGTTTTCAAAAATACTTACATGTAGGGTGTCAGTCGGTGTCGGACAGTCAAAACGTTTACTTGGTCTATCAATACACCTCCTGCTATGTAGTCATTCTGTTTGGTTAGTATCAATGCCTGTAGAATGCAAACAAAATAGTCAGCAAATACAGGAAACAGGCTTGTTATACCACTTAAATTCTAACGTCTTTGTTACACAGTACCTTCTCTCTGAACACGGTCCGTAAAATTTGTTTTAATCGACATTCATGAACTAACCTGCCAAGGAAACTCTCCGAAATTCGCTTGACCGGCTGCTGGAGTGACGGTTGTCGCAGGAACTGTTTGCAGTGTCCCGCAGGCAACGATCGGCGTAGGATTGGGTGTGGGATTCGGTAGTGTGCAACAATACACCTGTCCGGCAGCACATTGCACTTGGACCTAACAAGTCAAACAGAAATTGTCCCAAGATTCCTCGTATTTTAATTATTTATACGGAAGTTTCAAGAAAATCATTAACTCACCGGAGTAACAATTCGAATATCAATCAAACCGGCACCATTATTAGTTCCAGGGGGACAAGTCCCTGCAGGTACACAAATGCAGTTAGTTGCTTGCCTTTTGCTGATTTTGTGACCCTTGTTATTCGATACGCTGCCGCTGCCGCTGTAAGCGCTAGTCAAAAAATTATTGATGTTCATTTTTGACTTTGACTCTTCGGGTCGTACACTTCTTCGTTGTCTGGGGAATTTAACTGCAGAGTCAAATGATGGCACTTGAGCACTGTAGGCTGTAATGGCTGGGTTCTGCAGAGCAGCTGATGATGCTGGCGTGGTGCCGAGTCTGGGGTCAATCAGGGGGCCTGTGGTGGTTTGGTAATCATTCGGGTTAATGATGCATACTATATCAGGATTAGTACAAAGTAGGACAGGTAAAAGCACTCCACCTAGCGTCATGGCGGTAGGAGCGACTGTTGACAGGGCAGTAGTTACTGTAGGCGAAACAGTAGTTACTGCAGGCGGGGCAGTAGTAACTGCTGGTGAAGCAGTGCTAACCGCGGGCGGGGCAGTAGTAACTGCTGGTGGGACTGTAGTAATTGCTGGCGGGGCTGTAGTAAATGCTGGTGGGCCATTAGTAACTGCTGGTGGGGCAGTAGTCATTGCTGGCGGGAGAGTTGGCATTGGCATAGGGGCATTCGTGATTGCTGGTGGAGCACTGGTCAATACTGGTAGGGCAGTAGTAACCGGTAGACCTGTTGGTGCTGAAGTCGGCGCTGGAGTTGGTGCTGGAGTCGGTGCTGGTGTCGGTGCTGGAGTCGGTGCTAGGGTTGGCGCTGGAGTCGGCGCTGGAGTCGGCGCTGGAGTGGGCACCAATATCGGCGATGGTACTCCTACAGGAATTACCACTACGTTAGTATTGGGGTTCGAAGGTATCAAACCCAAACATGCCGTCAAAAGCCACAGACACATGTCGATAACCGAGCGACTGTTTCGTAACTGACCATAAAACCAACACCCTATCCGGTCGGTGTCAAAAATGGTTATAAAATATGATATAATCATGAGCCTGCGTTAAATATCCCATTAGTATTACGAATGATGGTATTCCCCTAACAATTCCAACCTTCATGGTGTAATGCCCGTGATTATGGTACAAATTGTTGCAATCAACAAAATGTGGATTACTAATCTGTTCTAGCCATGTAAATATGGTATTCATTGTTACGTTTGAAAGTCAATTCAAATCCGTCTGTACTGAGCAATCAGTAGGTATTTTTTCGTAGTAAATGACGTTGGTAAACTGTATTAAAGTGTACTTAACTGGAAAATTTGCAGTGACTAAATCCTTTGTGAGAAATTTTACACGTGATAACTTTTCATAAGGAACTTGATTGACAAAATTTGGTTAGCGTTAGAAGAGCGTAACGTGAATAAATAAATTATAATGGTGACAAGGATACGTCCAACTTTAAAGATTTGTATAGGTTGTCAAAGTTGTAGAGGTGTATAAGTAACATAGCGTCAAATACCCTGTAGGCTTTGACCGCCCTGATTTTTTTTTATACCAAGTAACGGGACAAACTAGTCGTACGCCTGGTGGTAGGCGACACGCCTGTGCATTGCAGCAGCAACTCAGTTTTAGATCGCAAAGATTTGAGGAACACTAACTACACTGCGTCCGTCACTCTGAGACATATCACATGGGCCCGTAATTCCATCAGCATCCTTACCTTCATAACCGGAACGCAGTAATGCTCACATTACTGCTTTGCTTGGCGGCAGAAATAGGTAAGGTGGCAGTTTTTCCTGGAAAAACTCTGTTCAATGCTATTTTATTTACCAGTGACAAAGGATGGACATTTCAAAACCTAGCAAATGTAGCAAAGCAAGACGTTTAGTTATTGTTACAATACATGTAAAACAAAGATGTTGTTGGCATTCCTAAGATGTACTTATTCAATTTGTAAATACCACAAAAATCTAAATAAATATTTAGATTTCTGTGGTAAATACCTATTGTAGCTGTTGGCTAGCTATAGCAGTACCGGGACTGGTTAGAGATTTGCAATTCCCGATATATATAAAAATGAGTACCGGGAAATACCGGGAAATTCTGGAAAATATAGCAAATTCAATTAAATTTTAATTTAACAGAAAATTTAAATTATTTTTCTTAATGTAAGAGCAAAACAAAGGAATAAATCAAGCCACGGGTGTTTTTGTAATCCAGAAGGGCGGCCTCCATTGCACTTTAAAAGTTTTTGGCATATCTTACACATCGTATGGCTTTCCAAACTGATAATGTATTTCCACTTTTGATTGGCACATAATCAAACTCCATGCCTGTAAAGAAAAATACCTATTATTATTATTATTATAATTGTATGATTATTATACTCTATTTAGCTCGATTACCACTGACTGACAGACTGAACCAGAGATTTAGATGATTTTTCTCCAAGAAGGAGTCGCGGTGGGTAAAAATGATGTACGGGAGTCGTGATCGGAAGGCTCCGGTGAGTATCAGAAAAATCATGAAAATGGACTGCATCAGGTGGGACTCTCGAACTAAAATTGACCGCCATCTTGGTCAGTTTCTACCGGAAGTGAAAAAAATTCAATAAATCAATTCAAAATGTCATATATTTTTTTATGATGGCCAACTCAAAATGGCGGTCCCAAAAAAAGGTGGTCCGATCCGGCTGAAATTTGGCATGCGGCCGTATATGGGAGCCCACAATGCGAATATACGGTCGAATATTCGATTCCGCCATTTTCCAAGATGCCCGCCATACATGTGAATTTTCTGCCCTTTGGCGTCATTTTTCTCCCAGAAGGAGGGCGGGAGGGTAAAAATAATGTGGGTGAATTATGGTCAGACTTATTAAATATCAGAAGGCAACAAAATCTTCGAAACGTGCTCCGCATCAGGTAGGACCCCAAATGCCCGGCTTAAGTATACGTAGTGGCCTAAAGTCTCCAAACAAATGTTCATCCACGCCCTGGGCAGTTTCTACAGAGAGTGAAAAAAATTCAAATTCGAAAAACAAATGGCCGCCATACAAATTTTGGGACCCTGTATCTCAGCAACTGTTGGAGATAGGTAAATCGTGGTAAAACTAATATCGTAGAGGGCGGTAAGGGCTAACTGGCTGTCGAAATTATTTTTTCAAAATGGCCCATCCAAGATGGCGGCCCGACGAAAAGATGCTCCGATCCGGCTGAAATTTTATAGCCTTCCATGTCTGGAAACCCTTAATACGAATTTGTGGTCAAGTTCTTGATTCCGCCATTTTCCAATATGTCTGCCATACATTTTCAACAGTCCACTATGTTCCGAGGTCTACATCTCAACGAGTATTGGAGATAGATGAGAAGTGCTCAAACAAATGTCGTACAGAATAGTACGAGCCAAGTGCAGGTAAAAAAATTTTCAAAATGGCGGCACGAAGTAAAAGTGCTCCAATCCGACTGAAATTTGACATCCGATCGTGTACGGAGGCTCATAATATAGATCTGCTTTCGAAATTTTAATTCCGCCATTTTTCAAAATGGCCGCCATACAAGCGAATTTTCGGTTTTTTGACCAGCATTTTTCTCCCAGAAGAAGAGATTTCCGCCGAAAGTAAAAAATGTTCGAAATTCAAATAAATAAGATGGCGGCCATACAAATTTCACTCCGTCTCCTATCACGGAAAGTATTAGAGATGAGTATTAGAGAGTAGGAAGTGCTCGAAGGAATGTCGTAGGGATTAATAGTGGTCAACTTCCTGGGTTAAAAAAATAAGTTGGCGAATTGAAAATGGCGGTTGAAGAACAACTTTCTTCGATCCGGCTGAAAATTGGTATGTATATATATATATCTTTAGGAGTCCTTAACCATAATTTGGGGTCAAAAGTTTCTTTTCGCCATTTTTTAATATGGCTGTGTGTCTAAAGTGACTGCCGAAACGGACTTGCTCTGATTCGGCTAAAAATTGGTATGCCTCTATGGAGGTACAGAAGTGCTGGATAATAATTTGTGGTCAAAATTGGTTTTTCGCCATTTTCAAATATGGCCGCCATAAAAGCATTCGTTTGCGGCAGAAAAACAAGATGCTCTGATACCTTTGAAAATTGGCATGTGTGAATCTGTAGGAATGCTTGATAATAATTTGTGATCAAAAATGGTTTAACGCCATTTTTTAATATGGCCGCCATTCAACAACTAATAAAAATTAGCTCTAATTCAACAGAAAAAAGATATATGGGGATCTCTATAGGTGTTTGATAATAATTTGCGGTCAAAATTTATTTTTCGCCTTTTTTCAATATGGCTGCCATACAAACTTTTTTGGCGGTAGATAAAAATTTCTTCTAATTCGACTGAAAATGACATAGCTTCAATCCCAATTTGGGGTAAAAATTTTGTATCTGCCGTTTTTCGATATAGCCGTAATTTTTTATGTAAATGGCTATTGAAAAAACTTGCTTTGTGTCGGAATGAAAATTGGCACGAAAAGTTTTCTAAGATTGTTTGATAATAATTGGTGGTCAAAATATATTTTTGCAATTTTTAAATATGGCCGCCATTAAAGAGCTATTTCAATTTTTTTAAAACAAAGCCATAAGTGCCGAGGTCGGAGGCCGAGATCCGGAGTCCGCACGCCATCAAATGGAGATAATATACGCAATATAGACGCAATAGATTACGAGTACAAGATCTCACAATTATAAAAATGTAAAGCATGCTTCCCGATGATGATGACAGTGGTGACAGATAGTGGAAATGAAATACTTATTATAGCGTTGTTGTATCTCAACCGTCTCTATGTTAGATTTCATTTTCTTGTCCTTGAAAACTATGCCAAAGAGAAGTATTTAGGGGGAAAAATGCCAAACTACTGCCGAATTTCCTGTACTATGAATACCAAATCGTCGATAACCCAAAATACTCAGACTAAAACCAACTTAGAAATGTTCGTTTCTTAAATTGGCATAAATCGGGAATCGACCTCCTCATCAAGCGCCCATAGTACTAACTGTTGTGCCACCGAAGAGCATGACCACACCCCGTAAACTGAAACCGACCACGCGCCGCAGGCTGAGCCCGACCCCACCGTAGGTGGGGTACAGGGCTCGTTTAAATATAAGGCGCATGTTGTATTTTTTAAAAATCGGATCGCGTCACTTGTTGCAATGCCATGCTTACCAGATTTAACAAAGGGGCGTCAAATTTGGTGTGGGACATAGTAGAAAGTGACGAAACATTAATTTATAGTTACGATCTCAAAGCAAAGCAACAATCGAGGGTATGGGTCTTTCGAGATGAGCCGAAACCAACCAAAGTGGCGCGCATGCAAAGTGCCTCTAAGCGGATGATTGATTCTTTTTTTAATAACTGCTACTGTTGCTTTGGGTAATCGTTCCGATCTGGCACCTTGTGACTTTTATTTATTTCCAAAAATTAAGAACCAGTTACGCGGTCAATGATTTTCATCATCTGAAGAAGTTGTCGAAGAGTATGAAAAATATGTTTCAGAGATTGTCACGGAGTGTGTTAAAAAGTGCATTAACGCTAACGAAGAATATTTTGAGAAACAATAAATTCATTTCTGACCATTTATAGTATTTTTTTCTTATTCATTCCGGAAACTTATAGTGCGCCTCACGTACTATTAGTATAGCAGTAGAGCTTCTTGTGAAAACGTTCATCCAGCGTTATAAACTTTTTAAAAATTGCTTTTTGGTCGGAGGGTTTTTAAATTTTAAATTTAAATTTTTCTTTACCATGTTTTCTCACCTCCCTTCGATGCCACGGATAACACGTTCGAAAATTTGAGGTAAATAAAATACGTTTTGATTGAAATAATATTGAAATAAAATAGTTTTGCAATCAAATGAGTGAAAATCGTGAAAGTTTGTTGAAATTTATATTTCGTCACCATTACCCAGTGATTTTTTGTCCCTGCTACAAGGATATTTAGTATAGCTACTTTTCGGTCCAAGGTCGTCAAAATGTTTCTGATATTTTATGTTTTCCTTTATTAAGCTGTTGTGTCACAATATTCTTCTTTTATTAGCGTTAAATAAGCAATTGGTATTGACCGTATTCGTTATCATTGTGAAATAGTACACATTTCAAAATACATAGAGCTATAAATAAATGGCACCCTAAGTGTAATAAAGCCACATCAGTAAAATGACAATTTTTTAGAAGAGGCTTAAAGATTTTATGAACGAAATTGGTCTAACTTTATATGCTTAAAAAAGGACCGTTATAAAATTTCACATAATATTATTTAATTTTTTTTCATTTAGTTCATATATTTTTATGACGTCCATGTGATAAAAAGCCAATCAACAAACAGGCCACATCCCCAATTTTAAAGTCACTCAGTGTGCGGTGGTGCGAGGTATGATTGGGACTTCTCTGATGGACAGAATTCCTAATAAAGTCATACGTCAAAGAACTAAAGCGACCGATATAGCTTGCAAAATTAGTAAGCTTAACTGGCAGTAGCCCGGACATAGCTGCAGGAGGGCTGATGCTCGATGGAGCAGACTTGTTCTATAGTGGTGACTGCGTGAAGGCAAACATATCTAATGTAGGGCGCCCAACGGCAAAAAGAACGGACGACCCGTGAAATGTGGCTGGCTGGTACCGGCAGAATTGGCGTGCTCAGGGATAGGCTTATGTCCAGCAGTGTATGCGTGTAAGCTGACACTGATGATGTGGTAAAAGCATTTTTGACGTATATGCGTGTGGCTTTATTATAACAAGGGCACGAAATAGGTGACAATCACTTGGAGTATATTCTAGTTACCGGCAGATCCGTAGCAGCGTTGCCTGTGAAAGTGAGAAGGGTATTTGGTAATATAGATAGTAAGGTCGGAAAGCAATAAGATTGTAATGAGTTACCGTTTGTTATAAAACATTACTTTATTCCGTCAAAATAGCTTATCTTAAAATAATAATAATAATAATAATAACGCACACACTCAACATAGCCCCGCACTAGGGAAACCATGGACACACACATAGACAACCACAAAATTACATCCAAACTCACGAGAGAAATAAATTTAGGTCATACAAATATTTCGCCCGGCCCAGGAACCGAACCTGGGACCTCTGCGTGGCAGTCCGGCATGGTAACCGTTCGGCCACGGAGGCAGTTTAACAATAATAACTGTCATTACTAGATAGAAAAAACAAATACTTTATAATAACTTAGCGCCGAAAATACAACTAATATTAGTTCAAAAATTATAAGCAGCAATTATTTTTATAGGACTGGTAGTTTACGCATCAACTTGCCAAGCAAGCTAGGAAGGCAGGAATAAATATGGCACGTAAATCTGTATAAACTCCATTAGGCCTACTGCAGGGCACGGACGTTCTCTAGGGAGAGGTAATTTGTTAAGGGGCAATTTCAATTTCCTTAAAAAGTCCAGGAATTTGTTTTTTACATGCATTTAATAAAAATGTATTTTTATTTTATTTTTTTGTATTGGTTTAAACACTACCCCTTTGGCTATAAAGGTTTCCTTACGATGTTTATTGTCACCATATCACACAATATGTATAAATAAACTTTCAAGGAACACGATCCATTTTCATTGCCCCATGAATATAATGGCCTGAAGCCTCTCCTTAGAAGAGACTTGTGCCTAACATTGGAACGTAAATGAGTGAATAAAGTAGGTACCGTATAGGTATCGTAAAAAAATGTAGGACCTTGGACAATGTAATAATTGAATTCAATTTGACCTCAAATTAAACACAATACAAAGGCCATTGGTCACTCGATGACATATTGTTGCGTAACAGTGTTGAAGATGACTAGCACACAAAGTATTTATTTTGAATAATAATATGCATACAACACAATGCTTATAATTATTTTTTTTGGGTATTATATAACTACTATTTTGACTGTAAGGCCACCTAACGCTGTATAACGGAAGCACAAAAGTTATCCATGACCATTGAGCGTTTTAGTTCAATAGCCGTCCACAATTAAACGCAGATGGCGCTATACATGTTAGTTCTAAAAGAAGCCACAGCAAGGCGGCACCGGCGCGGTCGCTTTCGCGCACGCCGAGTACATCAATACAAACAAGAGTACAATCGAGCACAGCACGTTGCGTATATGAATAGTATAGTATGACAGCGTCGCGCGCCGCTGTGCCGCCCGTCGCCGCCGTCATCAGCCAGTAGTGCTCAGCTTGCGCACAATGCTTGTGTAATTCGCGGCTGATGGTGCATACGCTTTAACTCGGTGTGAATCTGTATAGTTCCCGCGGAATCTATAATGACTGATCTGTGTAAATTAATATATTTAGCATTTAAGTTATTCAACAGTTCAGTGAGTTAACATTTTGGGTCGATTGGTGCCGACGATATCATCGATTAAATCTAAAAGTTTAGATTGATATTAGGCACTGATAATGTGAGTTCGTCATTTTTATGATAGTGGTGTGCGAGTCGTTTATTTAGCTCGGTTTGTTTACACTGGCACATTCAGACCGTGTATATTCCAGCAGTATTAAATTTCCAGAAGAAATCAAAATGAACAGTGATGAATTTCGTTAGCCGTAATTTCTTCAGAATGCCGTCATTCAGTCAAGAAATAAAGGTAGATCTTAACTCTAACGAAAAAGGTGACCTGAAAAGTGATACCAAAGATGAAAGAAACGAAGAAAGAAACGTCACCATGGAGCCTGTGCCGAACAATGCCCCGGCTGGTCTTAATGCGGACCAACAGCTCGCATTTGCTCTCCGAGATTTTCTCGGTCCGCCAGGTTCTGTGCTCGGAGACAATGAACCGTCACCGTCTTCCCTAGGTCAAACTTTACCTTTTATCGATGAACACGCAGACAGTGGGGAAGCAACACAATCTGATGAGGAGCAAACGCAGCGCCGCGGAGCGGAAGAGGCGCTCAACAACGCAGCGTGTAGGCTGAGACGGTGGCGGGCAGCCTCACGAAAATTGCGGCGGCCGAGGATTATTGACAATCTGTGTAATGGAGATGAGAAGGCAAGTAACGGGAAGACTTGTAATGGTGGGCATACTGACCTGGCGGATCGGTTGCGCAGCCTGGCAGCGGCCGGCAGCATGTCGGCTTCAGCTGGAGAGCTGCTGTCGCTGGCGCCTCCGCCACCCGCAGCCACGGCACCCCCCTCACCCAGCTGCTTGTTTTCACCTTCTCTCGCTGATCAAAGTTCTGCAGAATACTTTGTAAGTACCTCTTCACGACTTGAAATGTTTATTTTGCAGGATCATCGGTCAAAGCGCGATCGATTCATACAAACTTTGTCAATCGAAAAATTGTGTTTGTTTGCCATACGTTGAAATACGTTAAAGCCAGAATGAATTGTCGTCCAAATATCAAATCTTACTTATTGATAAAGCATGGAATGCATCCAGGATCCGAATGGTGATTTGTATCAGATTTTGACGAATATCTTAAAAACCACTTATCAATATGTTGTCGAGACCTAACTAATCGTATCAAACTACACAAGCGCAAAAATAATCTAAAATTTTATCTTAGAAATATATCGCAAATTAAGACAAGTGAGACATGTGGGCGTCAAAACTACACTTATATATGTTGCAAAAATCTTACGCCAAATACTTTTCGCGGAAATTTGTTATCACAAACTGAGCTACACTATCTATTTATTGCTGGCACGAAAATAAGACTCGTCTGAAGTGTTGTGTAAATATTAATTGCCGCTGTACTGATGGTTTTAACCTACCCACACCAAACATACAACACTTGTTATAAAACGTTTATAGAACAATCGGTAATGCGTGCGTATATTATTTATATATTAAAAAAAAAACAATCGGTATATCCCCAGTAACAGACCTACAGACAGAAACAAGCATTCGATCCACAAGATATGCAGACTCTGGCGATTGATGACTTTCGTGACGTCATGGTTCAATAAACATTGGAGTTAATAAAGCTAAAAGCACCTTTCAATATTGGACTAAAATTAAAATGGATTAATATTTTTGTGTTTTGCTCATAGAATGCATGTGTATTGAAATAGTTTCGATACATTCAGAAATGATGCCTAAAGAAATCAGAACATTTATAATCACATTGCTTAAATTGATTACTAATATGATGGATTCCGGCTACGGGGCATATAAAAGGCGTTCTTTGGCTGCACCCCTTTTTACATTTCCTACCTTTTAATCCTAAGGTGGCCAAAAAGGCAGTGTTCTTTACCAATAAGGTCTTTAGCAATAAAATCTTTAGTAAATTGTAAATGGCGACTAAAGTTCAGGTAACCGTTAGTGTAATCACATAATTTGTGATAAAAAGTAATTATTTCATACTTTCATTCCGTTTTTTGTGTTAGCAGTTCTGTTCTGTACACTCTCTTGAGTTATAAATTTGATATCACAGTATTATGCAAATATGAAATTTCTATTTTGTAATTTAAACATATATAGTCACTTAGTTCTACTGTAGAATACGTGAGAATTTATCCAGGAGATTATTATAACCTACAAAAGTCGTTGAAAAAAATCTATATCATTTTGCGTAAGATCCACAGAGTCAAATGATCTTTCAAAGGAAGATAGTGGTCTATCGTCACCCCTAAATATCCTTTTCTGTACAATACGTCGGTTTATATTTCACTAAAAGATCATAATTATCATTTAAAAATAGTAATTACTTTTGTCTTAATCTTGACAAAAGTAATTACTACGTAAGTTAACTACTTAGTGATTAGTAATTACTAAGTAGTTAACTTTCAACTTCATCTCATTAAATCATGATGACATTTCTGTTTGTATTATGTTATATTTAAATTAATGTTTGTTTTCGTTTCCATTTACAAGAAAAGCTAATATTATTCGCAAATATTACACATAAAATGTTCTTTCGTTTATTTGGGAAGATCATTGACATAGATCAGAAAAAGTAGTGGAACAAGAATACTGCCCTGACAGACGCCCATTTCATTTTGACGACTATGGTTCGGTCTTCATCTGTAGCACGACGAAATGGACGACGACGCAGTCAAAAGCCTACGTCATGTCCAGAAAGAGAGCCATGCACTATTGTTTGTTATTAATCACTTTCCACAACATTTCAAGCAAAGTAAATATTGCTAGAGACGTTGACTTTTTTCGAAATATTGCTTTTTTTGGAAAAAGTCGTTTTATCAATGGTTCATTATGAAATTTTTCGTTTATCATGAAAGCATTCTTAGTCTAACAAAAGCTTAGTGATGGTTGTATAATTCCTGTTATCATGTTATCAGGTCCAGTGGCTGAGCTGCTCAGGTTTTTATAACTTGAAGCTCTGAGTGTCTCTACAACTGCTATGGGTTGGCTTGTCGCTCACCATCATGCGCACCACATGTTCGCCCCGTAAATAATTATTATTACTTGATTGAGCTCAAATTGCTCTAGACGTATTTATACTTCTGATAACATGCCTGAAGTTAGTCTTACAGTTATATTAATTTTTCATAGCTGTGTAGCCTACTGTTGATTGTATTCTATGGTTCCGTGAATATAAATGACGGCTATGTTATCTAAATTATTTTGAATGTTTAATAATCCAGATTGGTTTTCTATTTTAGGATATTCTTTTACCTCGAGGAAAAACAAATCATTATTTATAGATAGATTTAATTAAATTTAGATTAAAAATAGGTTTCTCACAGATGGCGCTACGACAAAAAGTCTTTAAAAAACCAAAAACAAAGATCTGCTACAAGTACAGAAACATTCGTAAGGTCTGCAGGTTCGTTCCGTGGCTTAGTTGGCATGGCGTCTGACAAAGTTTGCTAGAAGACGTTGGCGTTGGTTCGAATCCAGCCGGATCGATAGATTTCTTCTAAGTGTTCAATCTTTGTATTAATAATTATACAAAGATTGAACAAACTAGTGGAGTAAATTCACAAAAAATAATTGAATATCATGGTGGTGAAACATCCTCACATTCAACAACCTTAATTAAAATCATTAATTGTCTAAAAGTTCATTGTAGGTGTCATTGACATTATTTTTAAGATATTCTTCTCAAAATCATTTTCGAGAAATGAATATTCCAAAGATTTCGATATACCATTAACCAGTAACATCGATATACATATATATTATTATTATTATTATATACCAAAATCATTTTATAAGAGATAAAATGCTCCAAAGCTTTGATGTCTATGTACTATGTTCTGACCAACCTTTGTCAAGAACTCCAAGCGTCATTGAGCCCTGTTCTGCATAAATGAGTTAACTCACAAAATGACAGTTTCACGATATTGAGCATTAAAGATTTTTGGCAACTATTTGTCATTACTCATTTAATTAATGAAGTTTACAGGACAATTATATATCAAAAGATTTGTAATGAAGTAAGCATTACGATCAGATTATTATTTTTTATGCTAACAAATTTATGATTATTAATATAATGAAAATGGTTTATGCAAAATTCGATATATCAACAAAATTATTACTTTATGTGTCAAGTGTGGTTAACACATTTTTCTAAGTACGGAAAAGTACGCATAAAGTGACACGTAATCCTTGCAAACACTGAGAAATCACATTTTCATAGTGATCATGTATTAAACCAAGTAACAGTAGTTTTATTTTTGTCAGTCAACGTGTTTTGTTTTCAATAATCAATAGCCCTTCTTCTTTGACCAGTAACAATCGGGGGTGCACAAAAGGACGTAACATTCCTTACTTTTACGAGATATGATCTAGACATGTGCGTCGAGGGTCTACCTCTTCCCACGTTAAAATCTACTAACATCCGTCCTTTCTACTTGACCACATAATCTTTCGTAATGGTGCGGCTGCAGTGCCGCAGTGGTGCATTGTAGCGGTTCTATAAACGCCTAATTTAAAGACGCACTAACGGAGGACATACTACTCAAAGCTCTTATACTAACAGCATTTATCCTAATTTCATGCTTCTTCTGTCACACCCAATACTCGCTATCGTACAGGAAGGTTAGAACCCGCACTTTCTTGACACGTTTTGGCTACCCATAAAGCCATACATAACTCCATTTACCTGATTTCGACAATTACTTTCCGTTCAATATCATCCCACTAACCATCTCTCATTAATATAGCCACAGTTCATTAACGTCGACGTTCCGCAAGGATCTGTGCTATCGCCAACCTTGTTCATCCTGCATATCAATGATAATGTTATTAACTAGTAACATTCATTGCTATACGGATGACAGTACCAGTGATGCCTATTATACAGGTCGCACAAATATATAAATATAAGTGGAACAAAACAGAGTGCAACTTGTGTCCAAAATTGAGACTTCTTTGGAGCAGGTCTCAGAATGGGGTCGACAGAATCTTTTCAAATTTAACCCCACAAAGATACGCGTTCACCGCTAAAAAATACCCATTTGTAATAGCGCCTAAGTTCCAGAACACCTTTACCCTTTTCTCCTTACCATCTCTAAGAGTATTGGGATACTTGGACTGGACATCACGAACGAAGTCCAGTTCCGGGGTCATTTGGAAAGCAAAGCCAAACTGGCTTCCAAAAAGCACGGTGTGCTCAATAGAGCGAAGAAGTATTTCTCACTTGGTCACCGATTCTTTTGCACAAAACACAAGTACGGCCGCATATGGAGTATTGCTCCATATGCATCTCTGCATGGCATCTCTTCAACCAGATTGACCCACTTGACTCCATTCAATGTAGGGCTGTTCGTATTGTCGATTGTCATTAACTCGCAGACGGTACGGAGCCCTTTAGCCTATGGAGAGACGTTGGCTCTCTGTGCGTGTTTTACTGTCTTTACAATGGGGAGTGCTCTGAGGAACTTTTTGAACTGGTACCACCGTCTCGTTTCCATCATCACACCTCCCGCCAAAGGAGTTGAGTCCATCTCCACACCTTAGATGTCTGGACATATCATTCATTTCTTCCTCGAACCTGCAAAGTGTGGAATGATCTCCCTCCTGAAGTAATTCCTTTGCGCTATGACACAGGGTTCTTCAAAAAGCGTGTTTACAGTGCTCTCAAAATCTGGCAACGCATAGGCTCATCTGATGTTGCAAATATCCTTGGGCGACAGTGACCACCTCCCATCAAGTGGCTCGTCTGCTTGTTTGCCTCCTTCTTTACATAAATATATATATATACACCTTCGCCTCACATTCGCCTTCATTCCTTTTCTTTCAGATGGAAATAAACCAATTAAGCTTCAGTTTTCGCAATA